GTGCTTCGTTGGATGCTTCAACCACATCCAAACCAACCTCAGAAATTCAGGTGCAAGAGGATCTGGCTCGTGGCGATGGAACCCCGTGGTACTCACCCAAAACAGCAGCCAATCATGCCTTGTTCTACGTTGTGATTTACCTAGCACCCGGTGACTACCACCGTTTCCACTCCCCCGCTCCCTGGGTGGTCGAGAGCCGCCGCCACTTTGCGGGCGAGTTATACTCAGTTTCACCATACTTGCAGAGGCATCTACCCGGTCTATTCACTCTCAACGAGCGAGTTGCACTCCTAGGCCGATGGCGGTGGGGTTTCTTCAGTTACACACCGGTCGGAGCTACCAATGTAGGCTCCATTAAAATCAACTTTGACTCCGAGCTGCGCACAAACAGCTTGTTAACTGATACCGCTGCCGACTTGGCCGCGGCCTTGGCTTCTAAGCGTGGTGAGCAGTATCCCGGCTTTGTTGAGGCGACTTACCACCATGCCAGTCGGACACTTAACGGACATCCCCTTCAACGTGGAGAGGAAATGGGTGGGTTCCAGCTTGGCAGTTCGATCGTACTTGTGTTCGAGGCTCCTCTTGGAACTCGCAAGTCCATTGATGCCGGCTGGCCGGAAGATGCCCCCAGTGATGGGTGGACTTGGAGTATTGAAAAGGGCCAGCGCATTAAAGTAGGCGAAAAACTGGGCTTTGTGGATGAGGCGACAAGTGCATGATGTTGCACAGCCCCGGTGCACAGCCGACAATGGTCCCTTGTTAGGAATTATTTTGGCCTACATGAATTGTAGGTCTGTTCTTGTATTATACCAGTCCTTTACTTTAGGTCGGGGTCTTGGGCATTTACTTTAATCAGATTCTTTTTTTTTATCTCTTTTTTGATCTATATAATGTATACAATGTACATACATACGCAATGTACACTATTGAAGTCTATATTGTGCATGTTTCCTAATTTGGATTAGCACAGATCATATCTTGGCGTGATGCTATCGCCTCATCAAATGCGTCATTGCCCTCTGGTCTCTCTCTATTTCCAAGGTTACCTTCTATATTATTCTAAGAGATGCACTAGGTTAATGTAGTAAATTAATATAATCTACAGTATAGAAATATTAGAAATAGTGTTTAAATTACAAGCATTGCACTATTCATAACCTACTGCAGTGAATGCAGTGAATGCAGTCCAAAAGATAAGGCAACAAATCTCCACCAAAGAGCTATCAACGTGGGCAACCTTGGAAGACTGCCAAGCTTTCATATCTAAAGGCGAATTCTCTCCTTAACCTTCTTCACTTTTTATTTCCCCATCTAACAATCTTTTTGACTGATGGCCATCTTTAACTCGCCCCGATCATTTCAAAATGTCAATGCTATTGCCCAGGCCCCAATGGGCAACCGGTTCTTCATAAGCGCCCATGAAAGCCACCCCCCATTCTTTCAATTAGTGTTGCTTGTCTTTTCTGCCGTGCTGGAAGTCGTCTGCGTCAGCCTCCCTGGTTACATTGTCGCCCGTCAGGGCATGTTTGGTGCCGATGCTCAGAAGCTGGTGGCAAATCTGAATGTGACTCTGTTCACCCCCTGCCTTAGTATGGCTTCCCTTGCTCTCATGAGATGTTTTGGTGGCGTAGCTGATTCCTGTTCCCAGTTTTTACCAAATTGGGCTCACAATTAACCGCCGAAAAGCTGACAGACCTGGCTATCATCCCGGTTATTTTTATTGTCCAGACTCTTGTCTCATACTTGTGTTCCTTCGTTGTCGCAAAATGTTGCCGTTTCAAGAAGCGACAGTCCAATTTCGTGGCTGCCATGGCGGTATGTACTGGGCCCTGCCATTCGAGAGAGTCGAATATCACATCCTAACGACCCCTTCTCTGTAGGTCTTTGGCAATTCAAACTCTCTGCCGATCTCTCTCGTCATCTCGCTCTCGCAGACCCTTAAAGGCCTCCACTGGGACCGGCTCCCAAACGACAACGATGACGAAGTCGCTGCACGCGGCATTCTATACCTGTTGATCTTCCAGCAGCTAGGTCAACTTGTGCGCTGGAGCTGGGGATACCACATTCTTTTGGCGCCCAAGGATCGATACCTCGAGGAGGCGGAACGCGACGAGAGTGGCCAATCAATCATCGAACAGGGCCAGGCGCGGTATAGCGACAACCCGGACCAAACCGACCCAGATGAACCGCTAGTCAGAACACGCAGCTCAGACGATTTGCACCACGCAACACACACCGACGGCCGGTTCCCATCCGGCGACCAAACACCCGTGTCAACGCAAACTTATTCCTACTTGAAGCTGCCCTCCACCCACTCAGACGACCTGGACTCAGATGATACACCCTCAGTAATTGGACCGCCACCTACCGGGCCTTTCCTCCCCCGCCAAAGCTCCCAAGGCGACATCCTCCAGTTCCCGGATGTCGAAATCACCGCGCGCGAAGCCCAAGAAGCCGAGAAAACGCGTTTCCAGCGCTACAAAGCGTCTCTACGCAAATCGCTAGACCGCCTGAGCCAGTGGCGCGAGAAGAAAATTAACGCGATCCACGCGCGCCTCCCGCCAAACGTCCAAAAGGGCCTCGCATCGACCACTCTCGGACTGCGTCGCTTCCTCAATGGCCTATGGGACTTCATGAACCCACCCCTGTGGGCAATGTTAGTGTCCATCATTGTCGCTTCTGTCCCGGTGCTCCAGCACCTCTTCTTCGACGATGGGACTTTCGTACGTAACTCAGTCACCCGCGCAATTGAGTCGAACGGACAGGTCGCCGTTCCGCTGATCCTGGTTGTGCTCGGCGCGAACCTGGCGCGCAATACAATCCCCGAAGAAGCCCTGGCGGATGTGGAACATCCCCGTGACGAGCGCAAGCTTATCATCGCTTCACTTGTTGCGCGCATGTTTCTTCCGACTCTTGTCATGGCTCCAATTTTGGCGGTCATGGCCAAGTTTGTGCCGATTAGTATTCTCGACGATCCGATTTTCATTATTGTCTGCTTCCTGCTCACGGGTGCGCCATCAGCCTTGCAGTTGGCGCAGATCTGTCAGATCAATAATGTCTATGTTGGCGCTATGTCGAAACTCTTGTTCCAGAGTTACGTTGTCTGGTAAGTCCTTATCCCTCCTATTTATAGAGAAAAGACACCCTCGACCCCTTGGTCGTCGATCTCAAGCATTGATCATTGCTAACATGGCCTTTTTTCCCCCTTCCAGGATCCTCCCATCAACTCTCGTGCTTGTAATGTGTGCTCTAGAGGTCGTTGAGTGGGCTGCTGCTTCGTAGACTCTTTGCTTTCACCTGAACCTGAACGGTGAAGCTGGTCTTTCCCTCTCTAGTCTTGTTTTTCTTTTCTTTCGGGGTTTTTGTATTCACTCTCTTTGGACACTTGTAATTACCCATTCCTTTTTCTCTTCGGTGGGGGGGGGATTGGCGTTGCTTTTGACATTATTCCTTGTACGCAGACTGTACGTTCTCAACCTATGAACCTAACGTGGTTCCTATCTCTATGTGATTGTGTATCTTCCTTTGCTTAAGCGTTTTTGGGGACAACTCACTTGATGAGGGTCTGTATAATAAAAAAATGACATACATCCGTTATCCATACAGCTGACTGCATCAGCACTTTAAATGATATAAACTTGCATGAGAAAACACCCCGCATCAACATAGCACAAACCCCACACACCTTCAAGAAAATCAAATCCAATCAACCCATCAAAATGACAAAGTCAACCTCAGACATCTTCATGAGCATAAAACCGGAGCACGTGCAAAATATCGCCTCGGGGTCCAAGAATCACGAATACCGCAGCTATCTCCTCCCCTCAAGCATCCAACACATCTGGTTCTACACCACCAGCCCTATCAAACAAATCGAATACGTTGCCCGTATCTCTCCGGGTAAAGTTCCAGGAGAGGTTCCTGATGATGGAGGTATCGGCAATGTGGAGTTCAATGCCGGATTGAGTGAATCCAAGTACGGATATGAGATTCTCATGCTGTGGAGGTTGAAGACGCCCGTTAGCTTGGAGGAGGCCCTGGTTGAGGGGTTCTTGAAGGGTGCGCCGCAGAAGTATTGTTGGGTTTCTTTGGATTTCTTGGGGAGGTTCCTGTTGGATGGGCAGGATTTGTTGTTTTCTAGGACGGCGGATGAATCTTAGTATGCTGGACTGGACTTGAGGGGTTAAAAGTGAACATTTTGATTCTTTTGGGCAGTTCCTGCCTAAGAAACTTGTACGTTTGATTTCACCAGAAAAGATATTTGTCTATTTGTTTTTGATTGTCTCTTCTGTGGTCTATAGCTCAATGGGAGCTATTACTGCGTCTCTCTGCACTTTGACATTCCCGCCGGAGTAGAAACTGAGATATATATCCAAATAGTTCATTAAATAACATTTAAGTATTTAAGTAGTCAGATAACGACACAGTTCCATGAAGAAGCCAACTGTGGCCCAGATCCCGTACAAGTCTCAACCCGTCGTAGACTAAGCAACCGTGCCAGGGACAACTGAAGACCAACCCATGGTTGTATATGCATTCTCCCATTCAATTTAAATATAAACCGAGAGAGAAGAAACAAATCCACGCAGGCTGCCCCCTCCGCAACAGTTCAAGCCTGTTTAGACCCGATATCATTATCAGATAGGCTGGTTGCCGATTGACCCCCGCTAGAGTCCTCAAGCTCACCATAGCCTGCGAAGTGCCGAACTGGGTCATTCGATGCACAATCGCAGACCATACTGTTGCGCCTGGTTCAGAAGTGAAAGCTCATAGACATTCACCTTGAAAAATCCTATCCAGACCGCAGGCAAAAGGGACATGCGCATGTCGTATAGCAGTGGTCCATGCTAGTGGCCACTCATCTCATCTTGGTGAGTTATGGATGCAGTGGCACTGTTGTGCCTAGGACTCAGATTGGTCTGGGTACCCATCGACCACATTCGTAGGGGGTTTGTCAGAAAACTGACCGTGGTAGATATACCTGATCTTCCACGGGGCTTCTACAACCGAAATCCCAGGTTTTCTCTCTGGTCATCTTGCACACGAGCATACCTGAAAGTTCACGTTAGTACGGTCAACATTGAACCTATGTTCTATCAAACTTACTCCAAGAAAAGTCGAAACATGTAGACGTCAATATCATCATTTCTGATCGTCCTGGCCGCCCAGGATTGGCCCTCTTCACCGATAGTTCGAGCAATCTGTTGACCAGCAGGATCCTCCTCGAAAAACCGTATCAACTCAGGAATCTCATTCCCGTCTTTGTTAATCGGCACGTAGTGGACCCATGGGACCAAGACGTCCTCGTGCCACTCCCGAAAGAAGGTCAACTTGAATGGAACACTCTTGCTGCGCATGAAGGCGTAAAACCTCCCGCTGTAGGCATGACCATCCATATCTAACAGATACCGGTATTTCCAGGCCTCGCTTGGTGGGTCTGGTTCCGCGATATCGTTGAAAAACATTTGCTCGTCATGGCAGTCGTCGTCGCAATCCACGATCTCCATGAAATGAGTATTGAAGTATCCTTCGATCTGGGATCGATCTGCCACTTTCACCTCCCAGCCATCGCTGCGGCCCGCAATACACCTTGAATCGTTCTTTGGTTGCATAAGATATTGGGGCGATTGCGGATGGGTCAGGTTTCCGATGATACGCTGACGTTGCAGGTTATGCCAGGTGCCGTTTCGACTATGTCCTCCGGTTGTTTTCCCGCGCCAGTATAACTGGGGTTTCTGGTTGTCCCATTCAACTGAGGTTTCGGCATCGAATTGTGATATGCCTTCGTAATAATATGGCGAGGGAACTGCAATGTCCTGGAACGAAGACGGACGGGACATGGAAAACATCGGGACCAGCTCGTTTGTCACCTTGAAAGAGTTTGGGTGATCAAAAACCCCCAGCCGATATCGCAGCGAAGGGCTATTGCACATATCACTAGCGGCAGTCTGGTTGAACACAAATCCCAGAGGACCCACTGCGTAGGCACTTGAGTTATCCGGTGCGTTACTATCTAGTGCCCTAGCAGGCGTGTCTAGTGGACATGAAAGCCGCGAGTAGAGCCAGGTCTCTTGGCGCTCAATGTTGTTGAATCTGGTCGTGGAGACCGGCACTGGTGGGATAGGATCATGCAAATCGCCCGGCGAAAATACGTTCAACAACGACGAGTTACAATTCAGCCGAGCGTGAGCTGCATAGCCTTCAGTGATCATCATGTGCAGCTCCTCGTGCGGAATTACCACTCGCGGCTCGTCGTGTACGTTGAATTCCATGTTCATGTCAGGCAACCATTGGGAGAACTTGTCAAGAATCTTCATTGTTGCGTCTTTTTGGAATCCCCCTTGGCCATTGCCCAAATGGATAGCTCTGCCGTCGCGGATGGCAACGCCCATGACATGATTATTATACCCCAGGTCCTCTCTCACACGCGAACGAATCGTACTAGGTGAAACTCCCCAGAAAGGCAGCAAAGTATGATATATCGTATCGAATTCATCAATCAAGACTGTCTTTCGCGACATTGCAAACGCATACCATTCATCGAAGTGCGGAGGCGGTGGCATCTTATACCGTCGTTGGTATTCCGCCACGGCTTCATCCAATGACTTCGACTGGTGCCCCAAAGTTTTGTTAAAAGCCTGCTCGGCATCATGAACAAGTCGAATGACTGGATGTTGGCAAGCACGCTCGTCGATGGGTGTGAAATAGAGCAGTGGATGCGAGAAGAGATACCAAAGGACCAACATAGCCCCTATCACCACCCCAGGAATAGTAAAAGTTCTCTTCGTATTTTGGGAGTAATAGTACTGAGATTTCTGCCGAGCCCCTTGAAGGAGCTGGTATTGCTGTCCCTTCCATGTCCCTGAGTGAATGGCTTCAGCCATAGTCACGAGGCCGAGCTGTAGTGACTGCACCCAAGATCGAACGCAACGAATTGCTTGCATCTTGAGGGAGTACTATAGCTAATAGTAAAGACGCGTAATATCTCCCCAATTACAGATGAAGAAAAAAAGAAAGGAGAAATTATAGCCACAAAACGCGAAAACGCGAACGTGGGCCATTGGGGGCCATTGGGGCCGGTGGGCCCGGGGATCGACACGGCCATCTGAGGGCGTCCGAGGATGTACTCCGTACTTTGGATGTACTTTGTGTGGAGTAAAAAGTACAATGAATCCGCTGGGAAGTTGGGCCTCAGAATTTTCATCGATCTGTCGACGGTGCCTTACCGGGGTAAAAGCCCTGGGGGCTTCAAATGTGGTCCGAGGTCATCTCGAGGCTGCCCCCCCGTACTATCAAGCGAGAAGTGACCATTTGAGGCTCTTGGGAGTATCAATGTTGTCCCAAAATTGATTTGACTTGACACGCGACCTCTTTCCTCATCAATTGGAGTAATCGAAGTTCTCCGTAGCTGGTCAGCTCTTTTCCAATAGGCTGTGAGCACCCCTTCCCGTTACCCCTGAGGATCGTCGCTCATCTCCGAGGATGCCCACTTCGGGCCTAGAATTGGGTTGGCAAAAGTTCACAAAATTATCTAAATCTAATAAAAGGCTAAGGTCTAGAGTGCAATTACTAGCAAGTTAGCTAATCCCTAGACCAGCTGCAGTTAATACATTTCAAAAAGCAGGACATAATTCTCCGCCATCAGCGTGCGCAGCCAATCCCGTTGGATCGCCCTGCACATCAATCAACATGGCCATACCTGTCGCCGAATGCCATAGCATATGGCAATGAAAAAGCCAAACGCCAGGATTGTTCGCTTGGAAACGGAGAACAGCATATCCGCGACTTGGGATCTGGACTGTGTCACGCAAAGCAGCCTGGGATGTGTTGTACAGACCGGAATCATAACCATTGGGTTTATGAGCCTCAACTGTGTCATTTTTCAACCCATCTGACTCGGATTCTAAGTGTGGTGGGATTTTGTCAATGAATGGATTATAAGAGCCCCAGCCAAATTCGGCTTGGTGTACTGCGAGTATGTAGAAGTGATGTCCGTGCTGGAGTGGATATTAATTAGTGGATTATCGTCATTGTGTGGGGAAGGGGTCCTCGTACCAGGTGGAAAGGGTGAGATCCTTCGTCAAGATTATTGATTACCAGGTCTATCCATACAGGCTCTAGCCCCGTGGTTATTGCGAATTGGTTTACATCCCATTTAGCCCGTGGTATAGAGGCCAATGGAGCAGGTGGATCTTGCTGGGGTCTCCAGGTAGTTTGATTGAAGTAGCCGAATGGCTTGTTGGAATATCGGGCCATTTTTTGGATCTTGGTGTACACCATGTGCGTCTGTTGCGCGGTGGGAGGAATGGAACTGAGGATAGAGGGCGCGGAGGGTGCTTCCCCGATGTTGAGATGGTGGGCCTTCAGTGGAGGTCCTTCGACGGCATCAGAACGGTAGTTGATCGGGAAGGTTTGATCTGGCGTCAATACCGGGTTGGCGTATTTGAAGCCACTGGTGAGACATTAGCAACCACCCGATGAATGCTGGAGTGTCTGTTCATACTCTTGATCCAACTGAACCATCATGTGTGACTGCTTTTCAGAGGTCTTTAATAATGGCCGAAGAACAAAGTCCATGCGTTGCCCGGGGAAGAGTATGCCGAGGGAATTTATATTTGTCTCTTTGGAGCGTGCCACATCAATACCATCCACCTGGAGCAGATCCAGGAGGTGGTTGTCGAAGACGAGACTCAGCCCAGCTAGTGCTCTATGAACTGGTCAGCTAATAACCAATTTGGGGTTGATAATCATGTGAAATACCCAGTGTTGACTACGCGAATTCGGTATGTCGCGTGGGGATCGAGGTCGATAAATGAATTATTCACCTGCTGATCAATACAGTCTACCGGCCTAGCAGGTACCGCCATCATGCAGTCAAAATATCCTGCCCCGTTGATGAGCAAGGAATCAGGAACAGGCTAACACCAGTGTCAGATAGTACTCTCCAACCGTTTGGGGCCACACTTCAGGACTCACCTCGTTTCCGAAATTTCCTGGGTCCATATACCATTCAAGAACATCACGCGCAGGGCGATGATACCAGTCACCAATTAGAAGCAAAAGTTCTCTATCATAATTGTAATGGTGGGCATTACCGCTCCCCCAAGATATTAAGCCTCGAGCAGTCGACTTGGAAGTTGGTGCATGGACGACCAGCCCACCATAAAGGCCATCCGCCCGCGAGACCCCCGAATGAGCATGGTACCAGAAAGTGCCACTCTGATCGGACGGAATTGTCAAATTATAAACAAAATGTCCTCCAGAAGGCACGGGACATTGTGAAATCCCCACTGCACCATCCATGGCATCTATGTGGGTTAGCCCCAATGCTTTTGATTAAGATCTGATGAAGGCAGATGCTTACTAGCCACATGAAGGCCGTGCCAATGTATAGCAATTGATTCATCCGGTAAGGCATTGGTAACAGTAATGATCAAGGTGTCACCAGAGCGGGCCTCCACCGTCGGTCCAGGGAACAGGCCTAGTTCAATATCCTCCGGTCAGATCGACAACGGTGATACCAGTCAGTTCCTCCAACTAACCGTTGATGAGATAGACCCGCTTCAATACCCCATCTGGCCTGCGAAAATCCGAGGTTACACGCCAATCTAAGTATTGGGTCGCCGCCGGCCGGTACACATGATCTTCCGGGTGAAGCTCTATCCGCGGCCGAGCAGTGACAGTGATGGCCTCATGTTCTTGAATGTTTTGATGATGCCGTCCAGGTAAAATCAAGGGCACGAGAAAGATAGATGATTGGAGAAAATACATCAATCCGATCAGTAAACATGCAGCCAATGAGCAGCCAACGATCGGCCATGGCCGCTGTGACAGCCCCGGCATTGGTCGAGGGGCCAATTGATCTGGACTAGGGACAATTTTCCGACCGTACCGCCCCTGCGTGGGTTGGAAGCAACCGAGAAGAGTATACGGAGTAGCCTATTTAACTTCGAGTATATCATATATATAAAGAAGGCAAGTGCCAAGCGAGTGCTAGAGAGAACATTCCGCGCTAGGACCTCATGCCACCCTTGCTGTCAAAAGGATCAACGTGATGCGACCTTACAGAAAGACATGCAACACACGTGCCCTCCTTGATCAATCAGAGCGAAGGTAAAATAATTACTCCGTAGTTGAATGTAATGTCCAAGCGCAATGATCCCATATACACTGATATACACTGAGTAAATAAAACAGGTACATACTAAAAAGTACCTGTGGCACCCTGGAACTAAGCCAAAAGTAAACAAGATCGTTCCTGCCGAAAGTATGTTCCTTCCTAGCGGTGATCGAACCATGGAACAGAATTTCACGTGGAGACAGCCGCATATCAGATTGGATCAACAGTGCACCTGCACCTTCTCTTCCACTATAACTCGATTCATATGTGCATTATTCTATTGTGCATGATCGGCGCCGTGCCTCACCAAGAATGTCAGCCCATCCCTGTGTTTCAATCCCTATATTCCGATTCGTTCTTTCCTTGAACGGTCTGGAGCTGTCATGTGGGAATCATGCCTGCAGATGTAACCAAGTCTCAAAGCTTGTTGGGGGATCCATAGGTACATACAATGCTACTCTTCGCTGGATTTTCTCCGCTCTCTGCATGCTTGGTTGGGGGGGTACATAAGTAATGGGCTCTTCTCTTAGTTGAATTCTTTCCCCTCATCCCTTCCGCAATTACCGATCATGGCTTTCAAATTGCTGAAGTGTACCGCCATCGGGGTACTTTTAGAAGCTGTTCTCGTTTCTGGGGGGTCTTTAAGCGACATCGAGCATGTCGTAATCTTCATGCAGGAGAATCGCTCGTGGGACACGGTGCGTTTTCTCTGCGTTATGAACTGTTCACTCCATGCTCATTAAATCGCAGTACTTTGGCACTATGCCCGGAGTCCGGGGCTTCAATGACCCTAATGTCCAGGTCAACTCCGATGGAAACTCGGTTTGGCATCAGTAAGTGCTAGGTACCGGAGCTCTAAGGGAAGAAATTGGTTCTGATATTCCGTGTCAGACTAGTCGACCCGGCTCAGTCAAACAAGACCAAGACATTGTTACCCTGGTATCTTGGATATCAAGGTGGCGATTGGCATGATGCGATTCAGTGCATGGTTGCGGGTAGCAACGGCTATGAGGAGAACCAACAGTCTCTAAATAACGGGTTGAACAACCACTGGGTGACTAAAAACACACCTTGGAGCTGGGGTTACTTAAAGCGGCAGGATATTCCAGTTCAATTTGCTATTGCTGAGGGTTGGACTTCGGGAGACATGTATCAGGTGCGAGTCCAGAGTCGATTCCAAAGGAATTGGAGACTGATCTACAAACAGGAAAGTCAAATCACTGCCACCAATCCTAATCGGGTTACTTTGGTCAGCGGTTCGATCAATGTTCCTGGCAGTCCTCAGGAAAAGGACCAGGGAGGTGTATACATTGACAACAATGAGGTACCAGGTATGTATCATCAGTCATGCTTCCTACCTGTCTTCTCATTCCTTCAGACAATCATATCTTAGCTGTTCCACGATCTGACCAAAATTATACAGGCTGTGATAATCACGGAATCAACTGCTACCCACTCAAATGGAAAACCATATATGACTTTTATGAAGAGGCAGGAGTCTCTTGGCAACTCTTCCAAGACACAAACAATTTCGATGATAACCCTCTGGCTTGGTTTGAGCAGTTTCAAACTGCCCCGAAAAATAGCCCTCTAGCCAAAAAGGGGATGTCCTTTGTTGGCCTCGATTCCTTCTACCAGGCTGCCGCCAACGGCACATTGCCCGAGGTTAGCTTCATCGTTGGCCCATCCGAGTTGTCTGAGCATCCACCATACATGCCAAAGGATGGAGCCTGGCTCCAGAAGAAGGTCGTCGATGCCGTCACC